CAGCTTAAAATCTAAATCCGATGCCCAACGACCGGGTCCGGCCTCGTCGTCGGGTTATAACACAGAGCCACGAGCATAGTAGTTGTAGGCCCCAAAGAGAACCTGTCTGACCTTTTCCAAAAGGCAAAAGCTGGTGCCGGTATACGCGGTCACGACGAAGATTACGAGTTTTTAAATAAAACCTTATATTTATACTGATTTCGATTAAAATTAACCGAGTTTTTTTCATCAATTTTGGAAAAATTCTGATATTTATTTATTCAGAAAATTTTATATGTTAATATATGACCTGACATAAAAATTGGTCATATAAGGGCATGGATAACTATATATTTAGTTTGATATGTCCTAATATGACTGAATATGTCTTTATTAGGCCTGATATGATCATATATAACTCTTCGACTAAATTTAGTTTTGAAAATTTCCGATAGAGGTCGCATAGTCGCTGAATCATCTCTTTGTAAGAGAGTTAAATTTGAGATATTAAGTTATAAAATAAAAAATCATTTTTTGTTTAGTAAGGCATGTTAATTGACGTACACATCTCTGGAAAAAAATAATAAATTATTTTTTTATTCTCACACCTCAGACCATCCTTCAATTTTGTTCACAGACCCTTATCTCTCGTCAAATCGTTTGATTATTTTGAGATCATCGGTGAAGTTTACAGAATTGAAACTGACAAATATGTAACAGGTAAGAAAGATCGAGGATACATGAATATGAACAAATAAATTATGCAGAAACCTGCATTGCCGTGACATAAGAAATAAAAATCGAATACGTAACAGCATCCTGTAATACCCTATAAAATATTAACAATCAGAACTTCCTACTCGGTAACTATGAATGTTATTTTAGTTAAAAAAGAGTTGGGTTTGGGGCCCGTCGTTACCCTTAGAGGGGTGGTACGCTGTCGATGAGAACATCTGGATCTGGCTTTCTTTGTTGGATCGTAAGCCTTTTTATTAGCAGCATCTCGCCCCAATTCACATCGAACAGGGCACCTCGTCTCATGTATCCCCGGCTAAGCATCCGTATCGAAGGTATGAATTTTTTCTAACTCGAAATCATCACAGATGTCACTATAAGTACAACTATGCTGGTAATTTTTTATTAATTCCTCGTGAGGTCTTACAACTCGCAGACATGCATGGAGACTCATCGTTTATCTTGCTCCAGACTCTAAACTATAGACGTCGCTACTCATCTCAGCTTAAAATAACTTGCGTAACAATTGAGTAACGTGATGAGCAGGGTCATCGAGCCAAGGACTCCGTGCAGTCATCGAGAACAATCGCGTTAATTCACGGTACAGCGTCTTAAGCCCGCCACCAATTTAAGACACCTACTCGAAGTCGAACTCAATGGCTTTTAGTTTTATTTTTATAATATGGACATATGTGTGTTGTATTGTGGTCTTATATGTATGTATGCATGCATGCATGAAAAGATCCACAGCGGCAGTAGGTCTCTGATGCAACCAACTTGACCCAGTCTTTAAGATTATCCCGCGTCTCCTGACCTCGCCCTTGCAGCGAAACGCAATAAAAATTCGGGACGAAAACGACCGCCGTCACCGCACTATCAGATTACACTGATAACTTTAACCGTCCAGTTGCCCGCTTGTCATTTATCATCTCCCATCTTCAAACTAAACTCTCATCTGCCTTTTTAACTCTTACTTTTACTTTTTTTTCGGCCACTATAATAACAATTTTTTTCATACGCTAATTATTCAACCTGCTAATCAGCAAATAATTTTTCTACGATGATTCACAACACATTTTGACTCTTACATTGACTAATATATGAAGAGACTTTTGTGGTAGAGTCAGCGATATTTGTTATTGTAATCTTTACAATTTATATGATAGTAATTCTCATCATTTTCATTAGATTTATTGTAACAAGTAAATTATTCCAAGTAAAAATATATTTTACAATTCCATTTTCAGTGTTTAATTTAAATATTTTACAATTATTGTATAATATTTTATAATCTATTAATGCTAGATTTAACAACATTCGATTAGAATTACCATCATATAAATTATAAAAACTACAATACAAAAATCGTTGACGCTACCACAAAATTCTCTCCATGTATATAAAGTAACGGTTAAAAAACTTCCGGTGTTTAGATTTTATAGATTTAGGCTCCAGAAAGGAGCTATATGCATGTACCATCCAGAGAAAATTCAAAGTTAACCGTACAGAAGAAAAGTACAAAGAATCTAAATACAATAATAAGAAATAGGAACAAGCATGGCCTTTTGGATCCGGGCAATTACCTCCAATATTGTGACGCGGATTAGCGTCACCGCTCAACCCTGGATTTGCATGGTATTTGCATAATTTTTCGTTGCACTAGCGCGTCCCGTAATCCTTTTCCGTGGCTCAAGAACTACACACACACTCACACATAAATATATAATACACAAATACAGGCATACATTTATAGGTATTATTATATTACAACACACACATACACAGCCACGTACAAAACATACTGCTTCTGTGATGACGTCACTAACGGCCTAAGGATTCAAAATGAAATTCCGTGGGCGAGACACACACCAAACGAGTAGTCAGCTTCTGGTCTTGATCTTAAGCAATGACAATCCTTTTTTTTCACTCCATACTATTCACTCTTTGTTACCGAACAATATAATCCCGTTATATGTCATTATGGAATTTAATTTAGCCCGCAGTAGTGTACAGTTCTATCGTATATGTATATTCAGATAATCTTATCTCGAAAGTTTTCGACTTTTTATTTCAAAATCAAAAAAAAAAAAAAAAATTAATAACAATCGTAATTATAAATAAAAAATAGAAATAAGAAATAAGTATTCAAAATTCACTGATTTGCTATCAATAATTTTATTTTCAATTGAGGAGGAATTTTTTAGGAGAACACATCACCGAGCCAATCAGCAAGTTGAACGATCCCCTGGGCCTGATGTCGAGAATGAGAGAAATATTTTTTTCATTTTTGTTTAATTTTATTTTTTTAGTTGTTGAGTACGTCTCAGATGTTGTTGCTTTTCTGCAGTCTTTCTCTCTTTATATTACTCGGTCGGTCCCTGGTCGTCGTTTTGGCTTTTAGCTCCATAGCACGGCGTCGTCCTCAGAGTAGAGGGCCCGTGCGGCCCACGCGCTTGTGCCTCAACCACACAGGCCCACAATGAGCCGGTGTATATCCTCGGCGTGGTTGGCTCTTTCCCGGGTCTCACAACTGGTTTTTTACCCGCGACTTGCCAGCAGAACCATCACTACACTCTCGTCCTCATCCATTCTCCTCGGTTCTTTTTCACTCCGTTCTTTATAATCGCCAGTCCCTTACACTCCTGGGGGACTCTGTAGGGTATTCTTGCCCGCCGACTCGCAGACCAGAGACCAGAAAAGTTAAAAGTTAAAGACGAGCCGCTTACTTTGCTCTTCAGTTTCTTTCACGATTTTTATTATTTTTTCGTCTCGATCAACTCTAGCTAAAACTATCTATTATATAAATATATTTTTTTATTTTTTAGAAATAAAGTATCCGATATAAAGAAAGTCGTAATAAAATAAAATAATTTATCTGCATTTGCAAACAAAGGAGTTATGGTTAAATGTTTTAGTTTTTTTTTTTTTGGCTTGGCTTGGCTTGGACTATACTTTAGGCATTTTTGGGCACACCTTGGATAAATAACTATCATATGAAGGTACAGCTTAAAGTTTAAAGGATTAAACTCTCATCCGTATAGGAATAATATATAATAAAATGTGAACGGAAATATAGAGCTCTAGCGGCGTTTTCTACAAAGAATAAGCTCTTTAAGACGGACGTATTATGATGAATTGTTTCTAAAAAGGCTATGATATTTTGCTGGATTAAATTAATCGTGAGGCACGTGTGCACGTGGCCACGATGACGACTATAGAGAGCTCCTGAACTCAAAGCATGTATTGTATATAAAAACACACACACAAACATGGATGGAGGTAAAGGGATGAGCAGTGTGTGTGTGTGTGTGTGTGTGTGTGTGTGTGTGTGTGTGTGTGTGTGTGTGTGTGTGTGTGTGTGTGTGTGTGTGTGTGTGTGTGTGTGTGTGTGTGTGTGTTGGTATAGAAATGGGTGTTTGTGTCGTGAATAAAAGCCAGAGGCGTGAGTACAGTCTGGTGGTTAACCGGAAGCATCTCCATGCGTGCTCGCAGACTCTCCTCCAAGGTTTCAAGGGCCAAATTAGTGGTCTATTCAATTATTGTAATTTACTTCTCAAACAAAACACAACACAACACAGCCGGCAGACTGCTCGCACTAGATATCCTCATTCACACAAGAGCCAGTTACACACTACTGTCAAATCCTACAATCTGATACCACGCTACCTACTACTCAACTGTGTATACTTCATTCGGTTCATGTATGTACTTATTCGACTGACGCAATGTTGCTCATCATCATTTGCTTGTATTTATACGTGTTTCAATTAATGCTCTGACAATGACAAATTAAACTGTGTAAACTCATTTTATTATGTGTTTAAATAACACTATAGTTTAATTATTTCATAGAAATTGAATTACGCTAAAATTTTACGGTTTTAGGTGAAAAATAATTTTATGATTCGTTAATTTTTTGATAAAAATTATGTTACTCTATTTTACTGAGATTAATATTTAATATCAGCAGCTTTGTTGACTAAAAGTGAAATAATTAAACATTTCCTTTATGCAATTGACGAAATAATTTAAATTGATAAATTTTTTAGAGCAAACATCAATTTATTTTTTACTTTTTTTAATCTTATAACAAAATGATTTTTGTAAAAAAGAATTTCATTGCTCGAAGGTATGTTCATTGTCACTTGCTTTTTATTTTCGCACGGACTCACGTTTTTGATAACGCGACGTTAGTATATAAAGAACGTGAAGCAAATTTAACATTGCCAAATAACGAAGCTCCTTCAAGTGTATTACATCTTACGAATTTTACCATAAAAATCATTATGAAGATACTGAATCTGATTTTTTTGACTGCAACAGTAGCTACTGTACTACTCTCCTTATCATCATCCGGACAAGTTGACGTAAGTATTAATTAAACGACAGATTATTGCTAAAATAACAATGATCTTTAAATTTCAGGCGTTTGGTGGAGATTGTTGGAAAAACATAAGATCCTGGTTTTCAACGTCATGTAATAGTAATCATGATTGTCCGAGTAATTTACGGTGTTTTTCAGGTAAAGACACTCTCGAAACCTACAAACAGAGCTATTGTGTAGTTATAATATAAAATATTCCATTTTGTTTTTGACTATGTTCCAGGAACGTGCATAGATCTATGTGAGAAGTATTGTTCAAGTAATCATTGTATTAAACTATCTACAAATTCAGTACAATGCTGTGAAATAACTTATAGTGGTTGGCTCAATCCTCGTCTAATATCCGTTTGCAAAACCCATATGTTTACTACTAATTGGTAGACGATAGATATACTTTCCATAAAAAAAATATAATACTATAAAATTCGATGTAAAACAATAATATCAATATTCTTCGTCAAACTTATATAAATTTTTTCAGCTAAACGATATTATATAATAAATATTATCAGAATGATTTTATGTATTCAATAAAATTCATATTAATAAAAATAATATTAAAAATTACAAACATTTATTTTCATTTAACTATCTAACAGTATGTATCACTTCCTTGAATCATCAATAAAACATTTCTTTTATGCAATTGATGAAATAATGTAAATTGATAAATTTTTTATAGCAAATATCAACTTTTTTTTTAATTTTTTCTTAATCAAATTTCATAACACAATGATTTTTGTAAAAAAGAATTTTATTGTTCGAAGGTATGTTTATTGTCACTTGCTTTTCATTTTCGCACGAACTCACGTTTTTGATAACGCGACGTTAGTATATAAAGAACGTGAAGCAAATTTAACATTGCCAAATAACGAAGCTCCTTCAAGTGTATTACATCTTACGAATTTTACCATAAAAATCATTATGAAGCCGCTGAATTTGATTTTTTTGACTGCAGTAGTAGCTATTATACTACTTTCATCATCGTCTTTCGGGAAAGTTGACGTAATTATTAATCAAAAGACCAATTTTTTTTCGAAAATCTTTACAATTATTCTTTATTTTTAAAATAACAATGATCTATAAATTTCAGGCGTTGGGTTCAGATTGTTGGAAAGAATTGAGATTGTGATTTACAACGTCATGTAATAATAATAATGATTGTCCGAGTCGGTTACGGTGTCGTTCAGGACACTGTCAGGACCTAGAGGTGGTCCCAAAAGTAGATTCCACAAATACTAGAAATCCATGTAAGAATTCGTGTACAAGTAATCAAATTTGTGTCGTAAAATCAGATTTTAAAGGATGCAAACGTAAGAACTCATTTAATTAACTTTCGAATTGAATATTGTTATTTAAATAAAATTATTTATCCTATTCAAGCGACACTTTCCATTTTTATAGCTTTAGAAGAAGTTGGCTGCAAATCATCATTTTAGGGTATAATAACATGTGACGGACCATATACTACAAATATTTCACTTTATTATGAAGACATGTTTGAGAAACACTTTAATTTGACGACCAATACAATAACTTTAGTTACGAACAATTAAATATTCTTAATTTCTATGCAAACTTTTAATAAATACACAGAAAAAAAAATTAACTTGATTCAAGAGAAAAATTCTTGAACCAAGAATATAATTTTGAAAAGAGTAATTGTCTTGAATCAAGACGAAAAATTCTTTAATTAAGTAAAATTTCTTTAAATCAAGAATATTTCTACTCAAATCAAGAATATTGAGCTCTTCAAAAATATATACTTGATTCAAGAACATTTTTTTTTCTGTGTATGTTATTAAAATTATTTTATGCATAAAATAAAGTTTATATTGAAATAAATATCCACACTATCAAAAAATAATTACAAAAATCAATTCACCATTCATCACCATAAATCACCTACTTAAATCATCAATAAATCCCACGGATGATCTTCAGCGGATTTATTACTTTCCCGCGCATGAATTCATACCCAGCACAAGTATGAAAAATAATAATAAAAACATGTAAATCCAAGTCTGTGTGAACATATAGCATATAGCGTTGCGTGGATCCGTTGCATCTTCCGTCAACGGACTAATAAAATATGCACACCCGATCCTCGTTTATCCGAAGTATCGATCTGAACAGGCAGCTTTCGCAGCTACTGCTACTGTTGTTGTTGATGATGCTGCTACCGCAGGTTTCTCTGTTAGCCACGGCCAAGATCGTTTTCCGGTATGTGAACCTACCATGTGCCAAAGCTACTCTTCTTTTTCTCTCCCGTGAACCGATACGAGTAGACTATCGTGAAGTGTAAAACCGTTGGTCCTTCTTGGCGAAAGCTGTGCCATCAGATCCTTCGCCGAAAAATTTATTCTTCACGCTAAGCTCTACCAGGATGTATATTATGTACTTATTTGAAGGATCGAAAAATGATGATCGATATGCATATGTTTTATTATCGCGTGCCGCCTCACGTCGTCATCTTACAGCCGTTTTTTTACGCCTTTCTTCGTATGGTTTGGTTGGTGCTTCTTTTTTATTTTAAATATTTTTTTGTCGGTTACCTCGTTTACATAACACTAGAGAAATTATTTCCCTAAACGGTTCCTGTTGCAGGTCATATCGCTACGCTATTATATTATTTATATTCACGAATAAATATATATTGCATAATAAAAGAAACGCATTAACGCACGACAGCTCTTCGACGGCGTTTAAATTTTAAATTACTATACTCGATAAAGTAAGAGTGAAGTAAGACTGATGGTTTACATTGAACAGTGACTGTGGATTGAGCCGGGACAGAGACCGTCAAGGTGCTTTTTTTTTTTCTAATACTTTTACTTTCCCTTATAATCTTTAGCATATACGCATAACGGGGTGAATATGATGATTACAGTGACGGAATACATTATTTAAGTACACGGTGTTTTGTGGCGGGGGCTTGAAGAGGGTTGCGCTCCTATGAAGTGCAAGGGCTGATGCTCCAATGCCTCTACCTGCTCACTGAACCTCGTACCTGTTGGATCGGTGTCACGGACCCCACGGCCTACTGCAGGCTTTCCTATTCTGTGTACACATTTCTTTAGATAATATATACCCATAAGCCGATGGAATCTCTCCCCTGCGCCCTTCTCCCTTCTCAGTTGTCAACTAAAAATCTATCAAAGGGGTATAAAGAGATATGTGTATTCATATTTGTATCGGTAGAATTCCAATGATCGGATGGTATTGATGGGAATAATAGAATCAAGTATCTGTCGTTGACTACTCTGCTCATCTGATTGTCCTCTATGTGGAGCAACGTATATGGGGTACTATGGAGACAAGTGACCTAGATCTTATTTCTTGTTTTGTTGTGTCCTACTTTTGGATTTTAAATTTTGGTTCTTTTTATTCGATTCGGGGAATTTAAATCGAGAGGTCAAGTCATAAATTAGTGGATAGTTGGATAGTGATAGAGATTTATGTGAAGAGTACATGTGGTCACATAGAGAAAAACCTTTATCTTTCAATTAATCTTTAAACTTTTTTTTATTTCAAACTTTCAGATTTTATCTGGAATTATTGGTGTTTTTACAATAGTTTATTTGAAATTTTTTTGAGTAAAAAAATTTTTTTGAAAAGCTTGAGAAGAATAAAAATAAATAATTAAAGGCTAAAACTATGGAATCAATTGTGTTGTTTTGAATTTTAGATTGTACTCATTTTACTAATAAAAAATTTTATTGTTCGGAGATATGGCCATTGTCATTTATTTTTCATTTTAGCACGGACTCACGTTTTTGATAACACGTTGACAGTATATAAGGACGGGGAAACTCTGCCTAATTGCATCACATCATTAAATTTGTTCAAGAGGATTATATATTGCAAATTCTACAAAATTAAAACAATATAGAGCTGTATAAATTTTTGTTTTTAACTGTGATAATAATTGTTATACTTCTTTCATCGCCATTTTTTGGAAAAGCCGATGTAAGTATCCTTGTTTGCTTGTAACTACTTTGCAAAATTATATACAGGGTGATAGGAAAAAAAATTATAAAATACTTTTTACAAAGCGTAGTTATTTTTTAAGCTTAATTGAAAAATAGAATAATTTGATTTTATGTGACAAATGATACATGATATTTTTTTAATTAATTTAAGATTTTCTTTGACACTAAAGTCAGAATTTATTTTTTAGGCGCTTCTTCCCAGTTGTTTCTCTCAATCATTTGGAAGTGGAAGCCAAGAATCATCAGGATCATCAGTATCGTCAGGATCTCCAGAATCATCAGGATCATCAGGACCAAAAGTATCATCAGGATCATCAGTATCATATGGGGGTTGGGGTCCTTTCACTTATAGAACTGATAGATCTTGGTGGTCAAGCATTTTCAGTAGGAGAACCAGTAGCAGAACCTCTAACTAATTTTAGTCCATTCACTGTTAAAATTTTTTGTGAAATTACAATCGCTTTCCAAAACAAAGAATGAGTAAAATTACAGAATAATGTATGTCTATCCAAAATTATAGTATTATACAAGTAATTTTAACCTATAAACCTATAAAAAATTCTTGTAATTTTGAAATGTTTATTTGTAAATTCTACATCCTAAGTTTTTTACTACACAGAAAAAAAAATTTACTTGAATCAAGTAAATAATTTTGAAGAATTTCATCTTCTTGCTTTGAGTAGAAAAATTTTTTAACTAAGAAATTTTTCTTGACTTAAGTAAACCTTACTTGATTGAAGAATTTTTCGTCTTGATTCAAGACACTGAAACTCTTCAAAATCATTTTCTTGGTTCAACAATTTTCATCTTGATTCAAGTTAAATTTTTTTTCAGTGTATTTAAACACCCGATTTAAATTTTGGCTTAATGTTTTGCTTATCAATTTCCAAACCGTTTTTGGTAAAATTTCCATGGATGTTTTTGCCAGCTATTCTTCAAGCAAGAATTTAATAAATTTTCTATAATAACACATTACATTATTTCTCTAAGCTTTGTTATATTTTTTTCTGCTATCTTTATATTTTTATTCCTTAAAAAATATTTTTCAACAAAATTTTTCATAAAATTATTCTCCATTCTTTCTCAAATTACCCAATTACAACAATCGAACCTTTCAGCACAATAGAAAACAATTATATAGTTGTTTTCTAAAAATTTATTTTACTAAATAATTTACTAACCAAAATCTCCTTCATATTAGTCAGTACTTTACACAAGGTTTTACCAAAAAAAAAGTTTCTTTACTTTCTCTCTTTTCTCTGTATAGTATATTTGAAACTAAACGGTAGAGTAAATTGAAAATTTATCGAACATAAACGGACAAACGACCGATCTAACAAGAGTTCCATTACGGAGCCACTAAAAAATAGTGTTTTGAATGCAACGGTTCTTTGGAGTGTCATCCAGCGGACACTAGAGCTGAGAGCCATAGTAGGTACCGCGGTTGTCGTCTAAGCGGCCTCAAGTAATAGGCATGCGAGTGTCAACATTCCTTAGTGTATAGATAGATAGGTGAGGTATAAAACGGAGGATACTCTCAGCTCTAAGCTCGTAGGATATAAGGAGTAAGGAGTAAAGAGTAAGGAGCAAGGAGTATGGTATCGTAGCTCGAGGCTCTAACAGTTAACGCACACACGCACTTACGCCCCTTGAACAATTTATTAGATAGCCTGGGATAACAGCCAATGCTAATAACGCCCGCTGGCCCGCCACCACGGTTCTTATTTTTATTATCTTTTTTCTCCTTCTTCTGCTTTAATCTTTTTATATTTTTATTTTACTCCACTCTTTATTCTTTATATAAAATACGTATAAATGCCACCGGAGGAGACCCGATAAGAGACCCGTCGACCTCCTTGTTTCCGGGTCTTGGCAGTTTCTCGAGGATCACTACCCGCGTGGGATCAATTTATTACTCCCAATGACATTTACAATAAAAAAATAAAAATAAAAAAAAAACAACAAAATGTAATAGTAAAGTAATAATAAATTATATTTTTTAATACATACTATAATATATACACATATGTGTATAATATTTTACTTAATGGTTAAGTATTTCCTAATTTAATTTTCCTATGAAGTGTGTATTATGAAACGCGAGTCTGGAAATTTATTAGCCTAATAAAATTTTGAGTGTTAAGTTTAAGGTATTGAGTAAAATGTGAAAGTTTTTTTTTTTTATTAACATCCAGATTTATTAACTCGTTGAAAATGCCGAAACAAAATTGTAAAATAGAGAAATCTTTTAAGAATAAAATCCACTAAATCTTTTTTTAGAAAACGCTTTTCTATTTTCTGTGACTATTACTAGATAAATAAATTTTTTTTTTATTGAAAAGGACCGCGAGCGCGTTTAAGATGTTCGGTATTACACGGACCGATATATATATATACAAAGAGAAGATACGTGTAAACGAAGCAGCGTGTAGTACTACGAAGAGAAG